GTCCAGGTTCCTGGCTTTTTATCCCCTTTCTCCTGCTCTTCCCGCTTGCTACTTCGGGCATCCCTGAGTTGTCTCTCCTCACCTGTAACCCTGGGCCCAGTAGACTCCAACAATGTATCAAAAAAGAAAGAACACATCATGATCAAGTGGGATTCATAGCAGGTATGCATGGATGGTTCAACATTAGGAAAAAAATCAATGTAATCCATCACATAGTAAGATAAAGGAAATAATCACATGATCTTATCAATAGATGCGGAAAAGGCATTTGATAAATTCTAACACCCATTCCTGATTAAAAAAAAAAAAAAAAAACTCTCAGAAAAATAGGAATAGAAGGGAAATTCCTCAACATAATAAAGGGCATATATACAAAACCAACAGCTAACACTGTTCTCAATGGAGAGAGGCTGAAACCATTCCCCTTGTAAACAGGAATCAGATAAGGAAGCCCTCTATCATCACTTCTGTTCAACACAGCAAGAAAGGGAAATAAAGGGCATCCAAATTCATAAGGAAGAAGTAAAACTATCCCTATTTGCAGGTGATTTGATTCTATACATAGGAAACCCAGGAGACTCAGAAAAAAAAAAAAAAAAAACCTACTGAAACTAATTGAGAGATTTAGCATGTTGTTGTTGTTGCTATGTACTGTCAAGGCAGACCCGACTCATGGCGACCCCTCCTTGGGTTTCCAAGACGGTATCCCTACGGAAGTAGATTGCCCCATCTTCCTTCTGAGGAGTGGCTGGTGGGTTTGAACTGCCATCCTTCTGGTTAGCAGTCAACTGCCTTAGCCACTATGCTACCAGAGCTCCTGAGATTTAGCATAGTAGCAGGATACAAGAACAACATACAAAAATCAGTTGGATTCTTTCACACCAGCAAAAAGGTCTTTGATAAGGAAATCAATACCATTTACAATAGCTACCAAAAACATAAGATACTTAGGAATAAATTTTACCAGGAACACTAAGACCTATACAAATAAAACTACAGAACATTACTTCAAAAAAGTGTAAGAGATCTGCATAAATGGAACAAAATACCATGTTCATGGATAGGAAAATTGAACATTGTGAAAATGTCAGTATTACCCAAAGCAATCCATACATTCAGTGCAATCCTGATCCAGATTCCATCAACATTCTTTAAGGATTTGGAAAAGTCAATCACTAATTTTATATGGAAGGAAAGAGACCACAGATAAGCAAAGCACTACTGAAGAAGAAAAAGAAAGTAGCAGGTCTCATACCTCTGGATCTCAAAAACCACAGAAGTCAAAACATCCTGGTATTGGTACAAGTCATTTTCACATAGACCAGGAGAACAGAATTGAGAACCCAAATATAGATCCATCTACCTATGCTCAGCTGATCTTTGACAAAGGGCCAAAATCCATTCAATGGGGGAAGATACTCTCTTTTACAAATGGTGCTGGCAGAACTGGTTATTCATTTGCAGAAAAATGAAACATGATCCATACCTTACACCATACACAAAAACTAACTCCAGATGGATCAAAGACTTAAATGTGAAACCTAAAACCGTAAAGTCCATCAAAGAAGAAATAGAGGCAAACTTAGGACCCCTAATTTATATCATAAATAGACTATCAAAAATAACCCAAAATGCATGAGCAGCAGAAGGTAAACTAGATGATTGACATGGTCTAACAGTTAAATTCTTATGTGCATCAAAAGACTTATGTGCACTAAAAGAGTGAAAGAGAGAGTACAGATTGGGAAACAATATTTGGCAATGACATATCTGACAAGGGACTTATGTCTAAAATTTATAGAAAACTCCAGCACCTCAACATCAAAAAGACTAACAATCCAATTAAAAAATGGGCAGAAGACATGGACACTTCACCAAAGAGGATATTCAGCCAGCCAACAAACACTTGAAGAAATGTTTGTAATTGTTAGCCGTTAGAGAGATGCAAATCAAAACAACGAGATACCATCTCACCCCAGCACTAGTAGTAAAGTTCAACAAGATAGAAAATAACAAATGCTGGCGAGGGTGTGGAGAGATTGGGACTCCCATACACTGATGATGGGACTGTAAAATGATACAACCACTGTGAAAATCAGTGTGGTGATTCCTCAAAAAGTTGAAAGTAGAAATATCGTTTGATCTGACAATCTCATTACAAGGTATATATCCTAAAGAAGAGAGAGCTGGGACGCAAATAGATATATGCATACCCATGTTCACTGCAGCACTGTTCACAATAGTAAAGATATGGAAACAAACCAAAGTGCCCATCAGTGGAGGAATGGATAACACAACTATGGTACATACGCACAGTGGAATACTACACAACACTAAAGAACGTAGAATCTACGAAACACCACATAACATGGATGAACTTGGAGGATAATATTATGCTGAGTAAAATAAGGCAATCACAAAAGGACAAATATTGTATTAGTCCATGTGGTAATTAGGTTGTTTGTCAACTTGGCTGGGCCTAGTTAGTGGCTTGGTAGCTGGATGTAGTATTCCGCATTATGAGACTGGTAATCAACTCCATGGTGGAATCTACCGTGAGTAGCTGAGTAGCTAGCTACCTTAGGGATGTGGTCTGCTTCCCATATTTAAGAAGCAGCTTAGGGAATGGTCTCTAGCTCATGGCACACTTGAACCCTGCATGTAGCCGTGTTGTTGTTCAGCATCCTGCCATGCTGTGCTGTCCTTGGGACTTTCAGTGGACTTGAATGAATGGTATGCTGTGTGGTCTGGTAACATCGGGACTGTGCCTTCTTACTTGTCAACCTTGGGTTTGTCAGCCTCAGCAGCCAGCAGCTGAGTGAAGAAAAGCCTCCAGCTTCAGTGGGCCAGGAGCAGGAGGCAGAACTGAAACCCAGGCTGAGAGGCTTTTACCCAGCTCCTAGCCTGGCACTTTGAACTTGGACTTAAAGCCTCCAAACTGTAAGAGAATAAAACTCCTGTTTGTTAAGGTCATCCCATTTGTGGTATATTATTGTCAGAGCAGCACTAGGTAACCGGAACAGTCCAGTATTGTACAAAGTCTAGGAAAGGTTTACGTGTGGAATCAAACTTTCTTTGTTGTTTTCCAGGGAGAGGAGGGGAGGGAAAATTGCTAAATAGGTAAAATAAGTAGTATGTGTATGTGTGTGCGTGTGCGTTTGTTTGTGTGTGTGAGAGAGAGAGAGAGAGAGAGAGAGCTCTCGTGGTGCAGTGCCTAAGGAATTTGACTGCTAACCAGAAGATTGGCCATTCAAACCCACCAGCTGCTCCGTGAAAGGAAGATGGGCCAATCTGCTTCCATAAAGATTTATTGCCTTGGAGACCTAATGGGGGTTGCTATGAGTTGGAGTCAACACTGCTGTAGTGAGTTTGTTATATATATAATATATATATATATATATATATATATATATATTATATATATATGTAAATAAAGATTATTAGTGGTTACGAGGGATGGGGGAGAGGGGAGGGGAAGCTTTTGTTTGGAGAGCATTGAGTTTATGTGAATGGTGGTAGAATATTTTGGAAAAGGATAACAATAATGGTGGCAGCCCATGAAAAATGTCATCGATGTCCCTGAGCTGTAAACATGGAAGTTGTTATGTTGGTTAATGTCTTGATGTGTAGTTTTCACCACAACAGAAGTATATTTAAAAAAAAAGAGTGAGGTAGGATCAAAAGAGACTTTTACTGTCCCCTTTCTGCGATTCCTTCCCCCTACTCCAATGCTAATAAACACCAAACAATGGTTACAAATGGAGGAAGAATAAGAACAAGAAATAGATAAGAAACCAACAATTGCTGCTTTCTCCAGCACAGATTGAGATGAAATCATAGGCAACCTTGGAAAAGGAAAAAAATTAAATTGGATAATTGTAGTTTGGAGTTGTGATAGTACATTGGACTTTTTACTACCTAAAAATGACTATTTATTACCAGAGAATTACAAGAAAAGCAATGAAGTGGATTTTAAACTCAGATCTGTCTGATTCTAAACCCTGTATCTTGTCCTATCTATGTATTGTCTAAAACTGTTAAATGACTATAAATACATAGACTTTTATTATTAAACTATTTTTGTTCATATACATATGGTAACATTTTTTCTAATTAGTTTTTTTTTCTACAGGGTAACTGATTACATATAAATGTCTTTATTTTAAGGATTATTTGAGGATTCTCAAAAGTTACTGAAAGATTAAGAAAATGCCATTAATTTGTTCTTATTATAGGGTGATGACATTAGCAGACTATAATCTTTTTCCAGAACCAAAGAGTACTCCCAGTTTAGAATCAGGTAATGAATAGTGAAACTAATTCTTTTCATGATTCTATATTTATTTTTGCCATATTGTAGAATATGTTAAGAAAATTGGTAGCCGAGAAGCTGAGTACTTTTTAGCTTCGTTGTGTTTAAGAAATGAATATATGCGGGGTCAGAAAGTGGGTCTTAACTATCCCCACAGCACCTATCATATGTTAATTTAATAAACATTTACTGAGTATTACTCTCTATGAGGCAGTGCTCATATACTAGTGGGGAGTGATACACATTCCCTGCCCTCACGGACTTCAGTCACAGGAGAGGAAGAAAAATAAACTGAAAAATAGGAGATATATGTAATGAATGAAAAATGAAAGAAATCAACAAACTGCTTTGTATTGTAGGTACTTTATTGCTTAATTTATTAGAATAAACTAAGCAAGAAGTTTTACATCCATATAAATCTGTGCCATATCTCAGATTTTATATTTCCTGCAGTAAATTTGATAGCATTTTTTTGGGAGTAAACTTGAAGAATTGCTGGTATTTTTCATGATGAGTCTTTGTGAAATGTCTGTATGAACTAAAAAAAAAATTGTGTGTGTGTATAATCTTCACTCTAGGAAAGAAAGTAAAGTGTTTTCATGAGCTTTTACTAAATGCCAGGCATTGTGTTTGGAACTGTGGGTAAAAAATGATTAGGATAATTTCTGTCCTGAAGAAAATTAGTCTATAAATTGTTGAATGTGAAATTAATGTGCTCTATAAACTTTCACCCAAATTACAATAAAATGTTCAAAAATAAATAAATAAACCAAAAAGAAAAGAAAAAATTAGTCCAGTGATAAAGACTAAGGTTGTAAAAACACACATCCTGGGTAGGAGTAGCACCTTCTACCCTGGAGGGTAAGTATTAGAAGAAAGATTTGTTTTATAGAACAAAGAGTAATAAAACTGTTGACAAGAAAAAGGTAAAAAAAGGGAAAGTGGTTAGGTACCAAAAACAACTTAATGATTTTGCTTAAGTTTTACCTGATAAAAAGTTTTGCTTTAGCTGTGGAAAATATTATTTACAAAGCTTTGTGGCAGGTAATTCTGGAATTAGGTATACTTTTGTATTGTTACTTGTATGTGGTTGATTGACTTGAAATTTAAAATTAATCATAACTTACTTTGTTGCTGTTAGTTGCCATTGAGTTGATTCCAACTCATGGAACAGAAGATACTGAAACTGATAGTTTTAGGTTTGTTATGTTGTTAGTTGTTGTTGAGTTGATTCCTACTCAGGGCAACATCATGTGTACAGAGTAAAACTGCTTCATAGGATTTTCAAGAAAGAGGTCTCAAGGCCTGTCTTCTGAGGTACCTCTAGGTGGGTTTGAATCACCAACCTGAAGCCTCTAGCTTCAGTGGGCCTGGAGCAAGAGGCAGAGCAACCTTTTGGCTAGTAGTTGAGCACTTGACTGTTTGTGCCACCCAGGAACCCCCTTATCTTGCTTTAGAGGTATTTTATAGACATTCTTTAATTCAACAATTTTCCAGTTCCATCTGTGTGCCAGGTTCATTACTGTGAGGAAATTGAGAAATGGGTGAATTTGTGCCCTCAACCATCTTATAGTCTAATAACAGAGATAAACAAGAAATTAATTCTCTGGCAACTCCCGAGTCTCCTGTGCAACCTTATCCACCTGTATTAACTATTGAAGGTGGGAATCTTTGAGACTAGCTTTTAGATTATAATCTCTTTCAAACTACCCTCTGTAACAGGCAAAAACTTCCAACTTTCCTCTCAGCCTAGATCTCTTCTGTGAGGTTAAGACCTTTATATACAACTGCCATCTGGAAACCTCTTCTTGGACATTTAAGAGGTACCTCAACTCACTGTTCATTCATTAATACAATTCAATCAGCAAATATTTACTTATTAATCCCTTACAGAGTGATACAAACTGTTTTAGTCCCTGAGAAAGATAAAGTCTTTGCCCTAATAGAACTTATATTATAGTAAAGGAACCAAGAAAAAACAAACTTTTTGTCATTGAGTCGATTCTGACACATGACAACCCCATGTGTTTCAAAGTAGAATTGCACTTCATAGGATTTTCAGTGAACTTATGGAAGTACATTGCCAGACCTTTCTGTTTGTAGCCTGGTGCAAAAGACAGATTATAAATAGGTAAGCCCATAAATACATAGTATAATGTCATGTAGAAATAAGAGCAATGAAGGAGAATAAAAACAGAGTACACGGAATGTGACTGGAGATGATTTCGACACATAATGACCCCTCCTTGGATTTCCGAGGCAGTATTTCTACAGAAGTAGATTACCCAGTCTTCCTTCCAAGGAGTGGCTGGTTAGCAGTCAAATGCTTTAGGCACTATGCCACCAGAGCTCCTGCTGTTTGAGATAGGGTAGTCAAAGTAGACCTCTCTGAGGAGGTGACATTTGAGCAGAGCCTGACTGAAGTGAGCGAATGGGTCATGTGAAGAACTGAAAGCAGAGACCTTGCCTATGCTGGGCAGAGGGAGTAAGTGAAAAGCCATGAGATAGAAATGTGTGTGGTATGTTTGAGGATGGAGAAAGAGGCTAGTGTGGTTAAAGCAGAGAAAGTGAAATTAATTGTTAGAAGCATGGTCAGAGAGCTAGTCAAGTGGCACAATATATGGTCTTATGGGCCATGGTGAAGACTAGGGTTTTTATTCTAAATGCAGTGAAGTAACATTGGAATCTTGGAAGAGAAGGAAGAAATGTTCAGATACATATTTCAGAATCATCACTTTGGCTGCCATGTAGAAAATAGATTAAGGGGGCAAGAGTAGAATCAAGGAGACATTGTTATACTATTAGAGTGGTCAGATAAGGGTATTTGGGACTAAGGTGGTTGTTTTGGTTACCTGGTGCTGCTCTGACAGGAATATACCACAAATCGGTGGGCTTGAACAAACAGGAGTTTATTCTCTTCCAGTTTGGGAGGCTAGAAGTCCAAGTTCAAAGTACCAGGCTCTAGGGGCTGGGTGAAAGCCCCTTGACCTTGGGCTTCAGCTCTGCCTCTTGCTCCTGCCCCACTGAAGCTAGAGGCTTCTCTTCTTGCAGACAGTTGCTAGCTGCTGAGGCTGACAAACCCAAGGTTGACAAGTAAAAAAGAACCAGTTCCAGTGTTCCCAAACAGCATGCCAGGCCATTGATTCAAGTCCATTTGAAGTCCCACAGTTGGCAGAGCATGGCAGGCTGCCGAACAACGACTCAGCTACATGCAGGGCTCAAGCATGCCATAAGCTAGAGAGCAGTCCCAAAGCTGCTGCTTATATATGGGAAGGGACCACATCCCTAAAGCAGCTACTCAGGTGCTTGTGGTAGATCCCACCATGGAGTTGATTGCCAGTCTCATCATGGGGAGTAACTACCACCAGCTGCCCAGCCACTCAGCCAGACCCGCCAAGTTGACACACACCTTAACTACCACAGTGGTCATAGAAGTCAGATTTAGAATATATTTTAAAGGCAGATCTTCCAGGATTTTCTAACTGGGGAAGACGTCAAGTGAGAGAGAAAAACAGAAGTCAAGAATGAGTCTTAAATTCTTGGCTTGAACAACTAGGTTGGGAGCATTATGACAGAACAAGTTGAAAGGATAATTAAGAGAGTTTGGTTTGGCCATATTAAATTTGATCTGTCAGCTGACACATATTGTATGAAAGAAACCAGGGGTAAACATGCATATACTGTATAATTGCACATATATGACATTTGGGAACAACCAAGACTATTCTAGGTGATAAAAATCAGAATAGGTATTACTTTTATGAGGGGCATACTGACTGGGAAAGTATATAAGAAATTTCTTAGGTGCTAGAGATGTTCTTTGTCTTGATCTGGGTGTTAGTTGCATGGGTAAATACATATAGTTAAGATTTGTACCAATTACTGTATTATCTATCACACTTCAGTAACATCTTAGCCATTGATAGGAGATGTCAAGAAGGCAGTTTGTGATGGAGGAGTCTAGAGTTCAAGGCAAAAGCTAGGGATGTAGATATATAGAGAGTCAGAGTTTTGGAACCATAGGATTAAATGGGAGCTCTGGTAGCATAGTGGCTAAGACACTTGCCTGCTAACCAGACGGCTGGCGGTTCAAACCCACCAGCCACTCCTCGGAAGGAAGGTTGGGCAATCCTACTTCCATAGTGATACTGCCTCGGAAACCCAAGGAGGGGTCGCTATGAGTCAGGTATGACTCGACGGCACATAACAACAACAACAACAGGTATTGAAAAAAATTGAAAAGAGACATGTAAAAAGAATGTAGATGAGATGCTCCAACATTTAGATGTAGGGAAGAGGAGACATATCCAGCAAGGAAACAAACTGAGTGGCCTGTGAATAATAGAAAAACCAGGGGAGGCTGTTGCCTCAGAAGCTAACGATAGGAGAGTAATTCAAGGAGACAGTGATCTCAGCTATGACAAAAGCTACGGAGAGATTAAATAAAATGAGTATTGAGTATCTTAAATTGTTATGTCCAAGACCTAGCCTGATCACCTTCCAGTGTTAGTAAATGCAATTTAGGGCTTAGCCTGGACCTTCCTCTTTGTCATTTCCCATGTGTAATCTCCACCACTCATCTGTCAGTTTGTCGTACTGTGGAGGCTTATGTGTTGCTGTGAGGCTGGAGGCTATGTCTCCGGTATTTCAGATACTAGCAGGGTCTCACATAGTGGACAGGTTTCAGTGGAGTTTCCAGACTAATACAGACAAACTCAGAAGGAAGGGGCCATCCACTTCTCAAAGAATTGGCCACTGAAAACCTTATGAATAGCAGTGACACTGTCTGATACATTACTGGATAACTTTATGAATTGCCCTGAAACATTGTCTGATATAGTGCCAGAAGATGAGCCCCCTCAGGTCAGAAGGCACTTAAAATACGACTGGGGAAGAGCTGCCTCCTCAAAGTAGAGTTGACCTTAATGACATGGATGGAGTAAAGCATTTGGGACCTCCATTTGCTAATGATGCATGACTCAAAATGGGAAGAAACAGCTGCAAACATCCATTAATAATTGGAACGAGGAATGTGCAAAGTAGTAGTCTAGGAAAATTGGAAGTTGTCAAAAATGGAATGGGACACATAAAGATTGATATCTTAGTGAGATGAAATGGAGTGGTTTGGGCCATTTTGAATCAGACAGCTATATAATCTACTGTGCTGGGAATAACAAATTGAAGCAGAATGGTGTGGCATTCATCATCACAAAGAATGTTTCAAAATCTATCTTTAAATACAGTGCTGTCAGTGATAGGATAATATCCATACAGCTATAAGGAAGACCAGTTAATACTACAATTATTGACACACTAATCATTAAAGCCAAAGATGAGGATATTGAAGATTTTTACTAACTTCTGCAATTTGAAATTGACCAAACATGAAATCAAGATGTATTGATTATTGCTGGTGATTGGAATGCAAAAGTTGGAAACAAAGAATCACCGGTAGTTGAAAATATGGCCTTGGTGATGGAAATGACACCACAGATCACATGATAGTATTTTGCAAGACCAACAATTTATTCATTGTGAATATCTTTTTTCAACAACATAGATGGCAGCTCTACATGTGGACCTCACTAGATGGAATACACAGGTATCAGATCAACTACTTGTGTGGAAAGAGGCCATGGAGAAGCTCAATATTTTAAGCCAAAACAAGGCCAGGAGCTGAGTGTGAAGCAGGCCATCAACTGCTCATATGCAAGTTCAAGTTGAAGCTGAAGACAATTAAAACAAGTCCACAAGAGCTAAAATATGACCTTGACTACATCCCACCTGAATTAGAGACCATCTGAAGAATAGTTTTGACACATTGAACACCAATGACCAAAAACAAGATGAGTTGTGGGATGACATCAAAAACATCATCCATGAAATAAGCATAAGGTCATTTAAAAGACAGGAAAGGAAGAAAAGACCAAAATAGATTTCAGAAGAGACTCTGAAACTTTCTCTTGAAGGGGAGTAGCTACAGCAAATGGAAAAAATGATGAAATAGAAGAGCTGAACAGAAGATCTCAAAGAGCAGCTCAAGAAGACAAAGTCAGTTGTTATAATGAAATGTGCAAGGACCTGGAGTTAGAAAACCAAAAGGAAGAATATGCTTGGCATTTCTCAAGCTGAAAGAACTGAAAAACAATTCAAGCCTCGAGTTGCAGTAGTGAAAGGTTCTATGGGCAAAGTATTGAATTATGCAGGAAGCATCAAAAGAAGATGGAAGGAGTACAAGTCACTATACCAAAAAGAATTGGTCGATGTTTATCTATTTCAGGAGGTGGCATGTGATCAAGAACCAATGGTATTGAGGGAAGAAGTCAAAGCTGTACTGAAGGAATTGGCAAAAAAAACAAGGCTCCAGGAATTGAGGGAATACCCACAGAGATGTATTAACAAATGGATGCCCCACTGTAGGCACTTGCTCGGCTATGCCAAGAGATTTGGAAGATAGCTACCTGCACAACTGACTGGAGGAGATCCATATTTGTACTCATGCCAAAGAAAGGTGATCTCATAAAATGTGGAAATTATCTAACAATATCATTAATATCTCATGCAAGTAAAATATTGCTGAAGATAATTCAAGAACAGTTGCAGCAGTATATTGACAGAGAACTTCCAGAAATGCAAGCTGGTTTCAGGAGAGGACGTGGAAAAAGAGATATCATTGCTGATGTCAGATGGATCTTGGCTCAAAGCAAAAAATACCAGAAAGATGTTTACTTGTGTTTTATTGACTATGCAAAAGCATTTGATTGTGGGATCATAACAAATTATGGGTAACACTGGGAAGAATGGGAATTCCAGAACACTTGTTTGTACTCATGAGGAACCTCTACATATACTAAGCGATTGTTGTTCGAACAGAACAAGGGGATATTGCATGGTTTAAAATCAGGGAGTGTGTCAGGGTTGTATCCTTTCACCATACTTATTCAATCTGTATGCTGAGCAAATAATCCGAAAAGGAGGACTATAGGAAGAAGAATGCAGCATCAGGACTGGAAGAAGACTGAGAACCTGGGATATCCAGATGATTCAACCTTGCTTACTGAAAGTGAGGATGACTTGAAGCACTTACTGGTGAAGATTAAAGACTGTAGCCTGCAGTGTCAATTATCCCTCAACATAAAGAAAACGAAAATCCTCAGAACTGGACCAATAAGCAGCATCACGAAAAACGGAGAAAAGATTGAAGTTGTCAAAGATTTCATATTGCTTGGTTCCACAATCAACACCAGTGGAAGCAGCAGTCAAGACATCAGATGACATATTGCACTGGGCAAATCTTCTGCAAAAGACTTCTTTAAAATTCTGAAAAGCAATGATGTCTCTTTGAAGACTAAGGTGTGCCTAACCAAGCCATGGTATTTTCAATAGCCTTAGATGCATGAGAAAGCTGGACAATGAATAAGGAAGACCAAAGAATTGATGCCTTTGAATTGTGGTATTGGTGAAGAATACTGAAAGTACCTTGGATTGCCAGAAGAACTAACAGATCTATCCTAGAAGAAATGCAGCTAGAATGCTCCTTGGAAGTGAGAATGGCCAGACTTCATCTCACCTACTTTGATTATGTTGTCAGAAAGGACCTTTCCCTGCAGAAGGATATCATATTTGGTAAAGTGGAAGGTCAATGAAAAAGGAGAAGGCCCTCAATGAGATGGATTTGACACAGTGGATCCAACGATGGGCTCAGGTATAGCAAGGATTGTGAGGCTGGCACAGGACTGGGCATTGTGTCGTTCTGTTGTACATATAAGGTCACTGTGGGTCAGAGCCGACTTGATGGCACCTAACAACAACAACAAATAGCTAATCTAATGCCAAATCTTATTAACAGTTTTGCCTCCTGTGGTAGTTATGTTTGTGTGTCAGCTTGGCTGGGCCTGGTTGACTGGCTGGGCAGCTGGTGGTAGTTATTCCCCATGATGAGACTGGCAATCCATGGTGGGATCTACCACAGGCAGCTGAGTAGCTGCCTTTGGGAATTTGGTCTGCTTCCTGTATATAAGGAGAAGCCTTGGGAATGGTCTCTAGCCTATGGCACGCTTGGACCCTGCATGTAGCCCTGTC